GTTGGGATGCTCAAAGAGGTATCTAGGCACATATTTGATTGTGATGATCTCTTAATCTTTAATTTTACTAGTTTGCAACTTAAGCTTCTGAATCTCTCATGATTTCATTGGAACTTGTTCAAACTATCCACTCAAGTCATAAATCACCCTTCGGATGTATAGGGACTTTCAAACCTCGATTCTGAGCTCGTTTATCCCAAATGTTGACATTGATCAATTCTTAAAATCTAAACTTTCTAGTTTTTTATTTTCTTCTCTAATACACATCTAATTACCTCAAGTTACGTATTACCCATCCTACCAAGTCAAAATATACATTCAACGCCTACACCAAGTGTCACTTATTTAAGGGAAAAGGATCCTAATATAAATCTACCAAACTGATTGTTACAAGAAGTGATTTCCATGATGACCTCTTAACTACATGATACTAAATTTTATCATCATGTTGAGATGCCAAGAGAATTTACTTTATTCTTACTGAATTTTCTTTGTTAATCCAAAGATTAAAGTTGTTGAAAAACTCTCCAAAAAAACAAAAGGAGAATGTTCCATCTAGAAGAGGGAGTATAAAACAAATAAATAGAAAAGCAAAAACTATAATAAGAACAACCTAAATTGGTGTTGGCATAGGTCATCGCGAGGTTCATGGACTCAACAAATTGTGGTGACGTTGGTGGTGTTGGGTTATGAAGGTGAATAGGACATCATGCAGAAGCTTATAATTTCCAAATCATAAGACAATAAATTAGATAACAAAAATTATACTAAAAACATAATATTATTATATGAAAACTAATATAAAGAAAAATATTAAAAACTGTAGAGAGAATAGATTTCCCCATAAACAAAACTCTTAGATGTCTACATTGTGGATACTATTGTGTTATGCAATGAGATTATGAATCTTCAATTTAAAGATCTCCAAACTTTTCCTCTAAGAAAAGAATAAACCAAATATGGAAGAAAAATATATTTTCTTTTCATAAAAAGTTCAAGTATTTATGGTAATACTTGGACTTTCTTTAAGGAAAAAAATAAACTTCAAATAAGGTAAGAAAATCAGGGAAAAACCCTAACAAATCTCCCCTTTTGGCTGGATTTTCTTGACAAAACTTGATCCACCTTCTTCTATGCTTGATAATCTTGTTCTTCACAAAGTCTTAACCACTGATGTTTGCCATGGTTAAAAATAAAATTTAAAATATATGGGTTAAAAATATTTTGTTTATAGTTTTAAAGTTGCAACAACAGGAATGTTGAAAATATGGTCTAAAAACTTCTTCTCCACATGTAGCTTGACAAAAATCTTTGTTATCATTAAATTGATTACAAATTGATTTGAAACCATCTTGAGTCTGTCTTCAACCTCATTGAACCATAAGACGGGATCGTTGGACCATGTGCTCTAATAACACTTGTTGGGTTATGAAGGTGAATATGACGTCATGCGGAAACTTATAATTTGCAAATCATAAGACAATAAATTAGATAACAAAAATTATACTAAAAACATAATATTATTATATGAAAGCTAATAGAAAGAAAAAATACTAAAAACTATAGAGAGAACAAATCTCCCCATAAACAAAACTCTTAGATGTCTACATTGTAGATACTATTGTGTTATGCTATGAGAATATGGATCTTCAATTTATAGATCTCCAAAACTTTTCCTCTAAGGAAAGAATAAACCAAATATGGAAGAAAGATATATTTTCCTTTCAGAAAAAGTTCAAACATTTATGGTAATACTTGGACTTTTCTTTAAGGAAAAAAGTAAACTTCAAATAAGGTAAGAAAATTAGGGAAAAACCCTAACAGGTGGTGGAGCTAGTAATGGTGAATTTGGTGATGTCATGGGATATGACCAGGGTCATGGATCCGGTGCAAACAGTGGTGGAAACGAAAGGAGGGAGATGCCTTGGTAGAATTTGAATATCCCAACATTTGTTTTTCATGTTTTGTTAGATTTTCAAGTAAAAGTATTTGTGCCCCCGAGTGTTTGATGAATTTCTTGAAAGAATTTACTTTGTGTTTTTTGAAGAATTTAGTAACTCCTTTTTCTTTATTGATGTTCAACTACGTATACATTCACTTCATTTTTCTTTTTGTTTTATACGTTTTGCAAACATTTATAGATTAATTAATTGTACCTCTAATTAATAGTTACTAACCATGCCATTACATATTACATAACCCTATCTATTAAGATTTTTCATAGTATCTCAAATATTAATTAATACAACATTTTAAGTAATATTTTAGCATTTTCATAGCGAGTAGTTAGCCTCACAAAACAAAGGCCACAAAAGCAAAGTAAGATACATTCTTCTTCAAATTAATGTTGCTTGAACTTTTCAAAAAATACAAACAAGCACATGTCAGATACTTTAAAAATAATATATTTTTGGAGAACTTCATACGAGTTACATAGTATTACATAATTTTAAATCATGCATATATCTACTAGTAAATGGGCCTGCGCTTCGCGCGGTTAGAACATTCTTCTTTAAAATTTATTAGAACATAATTTTTCTTGTATTTTGATGTTATAGTATATTTATATAAATATGTTTTTAAGAGTATAGAGGTTATTCGATTCTAGTTTACCATTTGTTTATTAAAAGAAAAGGTAAAATTACAAATCATAACACTATTTTCTCCTAGTTTACATAATTTAATTTTACAGATTCATTAATTTGCTTTTGAAATTTTACAATGGTTAGGTTGTTTTTATCATCTATATGCATGGCATAGTGCCTTTAATTAGAGAGTCAAATAAATATTTTTCTCAATTTTCTTCTTTGCAAATTTCGTTAGTATAACACTATCAATTACTTTCAAAAATATTAAATTTTTAATATATATATATATATATATATAATGTGTTTCTGAAGAGCAAAGGTTCCATAATCATATGATATACCAATAAGTAATATGTAG